TTGAGATTTGTACGTCATCTGCTACAGAGGCGGATCTCAAAGCATGCAATCAATTGTTTGATGCTGTCATAACGTATGGAGATATTCCAGATAGCAAGCTTCAGCCAGTTGTGAAGGTGCTATGCTCTATACATAGCTCTCTTTGGAATGTGCATCAAGACGCCTGGAGATGTATCAGCAACTTATGCAAATCCCATCACGGGCTCACAATGGTTAGAATACTGATGGAAGTTGTTGGAAAGCCGTTGTTAGACAAGTCCGATGATAAGCAATATAGCCAGAATGTTAAAGAGGTAAGGGGTGCTATATCGGCGTTGGAGAAACTACTTGCAAAGGACACAAAGAATGGTTACCCCTTGGTCCCATTCACCCTTCTTATGGCATCTCTGCGAAAGGTTCTTGAGCTAGACCGTACCTCAGTTGATTGCGATATCTTGCAGCTGATTCACTCGCTTTTCACTCATGAAGGTGGAATTATGCAGAATGTGCTTGACGAAGACTGGTCACCAATGTTTGATATTGTGTTTAGCTGCTCTAGACGTATTCCAGATCCAGTGACGAATCGGTCTCAGATATACAACACTATCAATGGAAGCCCCCCTTCCAAAGACGAAACTTCCCAGCAAAAGTTTATAACAAAAATGGGGGAACTGATTGGTGGTCTAATTATGCGCGTCGAGCAATTATTAAATTCGCCTCCACTCAACTTCGTTCAGAAAGACGACTGCATTGAATTTTTCGTCAGATCTCATACCTATCTTTCAGACACTTGCGCAAAGTTGGTCATTGATCATTTCATAGACTACAAATGTTGCTCGCCATCGGATTTACGATGGAAAAAGAACATTGACCTGATTCTTGGCGGCTTCCTTGCTGATCGGTCCCGCCCACCCGATATTCGACTGCACGCTCTGAAAGCAGTGACAGATGTATATGTTATCGTCAGCGTTACTGATCAACCGGAGATTTTCGAGGCTTTTGCGGTGACAGTCTTGGGATATGTTCGAGATGAGAAGGATATTGCAATACTGCAGGAATTCATTGATTTCGCTGTAGTGATGGCCGAACAAACTTTGGACAACAGTTTATTTCAACATGCTGTAGACATTATGAGAAGTGTGGTCACCAGTGATCGAATGCAATCACCTCTTGGATCGCCTCCAGGGACTCGTCATGGAATCTTGTCGAGCAAGTCTTCATCTTCTTATGCCGCACCTCCTATTGTGCACAGCCCTTCCAATATCATTGTGAGAGGTTTTATTCAAATATTCATGAGAACCATGTTTACGCATGTCTCTAAGTCATTACGGGTGTTTGAAGAATTACTTGCCATCGCACAAGCTTCTGACTGCCCAACAGACTCTCGCATATCTGCTCTAAAAATGTTCTTTCGGCTTCGAGCAGACGCGATGAACAGAATTTTTCTTACGCCCTTCACAGAGTCAGATACTTTAGCCGCTTCTCTCTATCGAACAGCTGAATCACTAGCTAAGAAGCACGCTGCAGATGAAGCCGCCCAGCAAAGTCGGTTAGCTCGAGCAGATGAATCTAATTCTCGCCTATCTCGAAGTACGTCAGGCGGTCAAGCACAGTCTCTTCCCAAACAAAGCTTCAGATTAGGCAGTGGCATGAATCGAACTTTACAGCGTAACCACCAGATGTGGATGTCACCAGACGCCGACGCCTTGCCAGACACTACAAATGGCAATGCTACTATACGCCTAGTTTCAATAATTGAAGATGTGGATCAGAAGTTCATTGCGCAAAACTTGGATGCTGCAGGATTGGTTTCTGATCAAGAGAACTCACAGCACTCTGCGGCTCGAGATACTATCGCTGAAGCAGATTCAGTACGGGAGAACAAACAAGATTCCGCGGTAGAAGCTTCCGATGATCTCTCCCGTACCTCTGTCGAGTCCGCCCATCCGGATCTGACTGATACTGAAGAGAAGGGGCTTGACCATAGCAATAACTTGAACCCTTACCAGCCACTTGTGCAGACTGTCTTGAACATTGACTCTTATCTCGATGTTCTTTGTCAGCTCCTTGATGGTGGCTGTGATTGGGAAGTTTACAGCTATATTCTTGTTCACCTGCCATCTCAGTTGACCAACCAAGCCCTTTTCAAGTCATCAATTCCTCAGATAAAGAAGCTCAGATCTTTGCTATGTGATTTGATCAGAGATAGTAGTTTTCAAGAGCCCCCAGTATCATCTGGGTTGCGCAAAGCTGACGTGGCCATTTGTCTCTTTAACGTCTTGACAATGGTCACAAGTTATAACCGAGAGTTTTCCAAAACCGAGGAAGATGAAATTGTTAGGACCTTCTTACAAGGTGTAGGCGCGTGGGAGCGGGCTGCCAAATGCTGCATCCATGCCCTTTCGATTTGCTGCCATGAACTTCCTGGATCGACTAGAAAAGCTCTTGTGACTATTCTTCAAAAGATGTCGCAGATTATCACTCAACAACATGTCGCAATTCACATTCTAGAATTTTTGGCTTGTTTGTCCAGACTCCCAGAACTATATGCCAACTTTCGAGAAGAGGAATACCGAACTGTTTTCGCTGTATGTTTCCGATACCTTCAAAATGTACGAGATCAACCGAGCAAGGATAACAGCTCGAAAAACAACTTCCCCCGAGCTCGAGTTGCCTCGGGACCACTTTCAACAGAGAGTAACTTGGTAGATTCAAGCGTGCAAGCAAGCAGCTCGGATGATTTACCACAGTATGTATATGCTCTTGCATATCATGTTATCATCTTCTGGTTTCTGTCCTTGAAACTCACTGATCGTGCTGGTCAAGTTGGTTGGATTGCCAAGAACCTCGTTTCGACTGATGCGAATGGAAAGGAGAAGATTGATGAGCAAGCACAAGTCACCTTGGACTATATGCAAAGAGTTGCTTATGCTGATGTGGACGAATCCTCTGCCGATCCAGACTTTATCCCAGAACTGTATGGTGAAATACTGAAAAAGCGCTGGATTATTGGCCATAGTGTTGTCACCATTGAACAGGCTACCCACAAAGGCTGGGCGCAAATTACCAAGCGCCATCCTTCAGGTACTTCTTGTTATATGGTTCGCGAAAAGTTTAGCCCGCCGCCTCCTCATCAGATCTCTCTCTCTACCGATGCTTTACGCGACGCAAAACACTCTAATGCCAATGTTGTTCTCCCCAGCCACCTCCTCCTACAATTGACCGCCTCAATTCCGCAAGGCACTGAGTTCACACGCCCGATCGCTCTTCCTGATGACGACATGACTAGGCGTGCTGTAAAGGCTCTGGATCGCAATCTTACCGTGGATGGGCACAAAGTTGGTGTCATTTATATCGGTGACAAGCAGACACAGGAAGTCGAGATACTTGCTAATATTACAGGCAGTGAGGAGTACTATACATTTCTTGCAGGGCTTGCGACGGTGACCGAACTCAAGGGGGCCAAGTTCAATGCCCAGGGTCTTGACACAATGTACGGTACGGATGGAGAGAAGGTATTCTGCTGGAGAGATCGGGTTTCTGAAATAGTTTTTCACGTGACAACACAGATGCCGACAAATCTCGAGATGGATCCACAGTGCGCTCAAAAGAAGAGACATATTGGTAATGACTATGTGAATATCATTTTCAACAACTCCGGCTTGCCGTTCAAATACGACACATTTCCATCTGCTTTCAACTATGTCAATATTGTTATTGCTCCAGAATCCCGTCTCTCTTTTACCGCTGCTAGAGATCCACGACAAGGACAATTGCGAAAAGACCCATACTACAAAGTTCAAGTCATGAGCAAACCTGGATTCCCGGAGATTTCTCCTGCTGCTGAGATGAAAATTGTCAGTCTGAGGAATTTGCCGGAATTTATTCGCTTGCTAGCAATGAATGCTTCAGTCTTTTCCTCGGTCTGGGCAAATCGTGAGGGTGGAGAACACGTTTCACCATGGCGCAATCGTCTACGTGAGATCAATCGGCTCAGAGCAAAGCATGCACCAAAGCGATCTGATTCTACTCATAATTCCCCACCAGGTACATCCACTGGTGCAGTTTCCGAGGCTAAGGCCCGCGAGAGCATGACTAGTATTCGCCGGGCTTCTGTCGCCAACTTCAGTTTTCTATCTAGTTCAGTTGACGCTAGTTCTCAAAAATCGTCGGTTTTGTCTACGGCAGAACCGGACAAGGACACAATTGGGGATGAGCCAATGGTTGATAGTTTAGACTTCTCAAGATGGGCGTAATATAAAATGTGAGGCGTTGGGTTGAAACAACTGAAATGATTGGGAAATACCACAAAAGTTTTTATCTTATCTTAATTTATTCCATTGTCTTTCATTTACCAGCTGGAAGGGGCAGTTATGAGATGGTGGGGTTCCAGCTTGACATTAATCAGGTTGGTAAATTTGTATGGGCAAAGAGGGAGCATTTTTCTTTTCTTTTAGTGATCATCTATAAACACACCGTGACATAGCTTAACATCTAAATTGAGTATTTATCTATGAATCTCGCTACATGCTCTGCCTGTAAATCAATTTCATTGGAAATTTCAGTATGATTGCGTGGTAGAACCTATTTTTTCAATGCTTCGTGAAGCCGCAACCGACCAAAGCGAACATGGTTATGTGCGTACAATGCCTACAAAGCTTCAGGCCCGACCTTATTGACCCGAAGTCATTTGCAGAGTTCCAGTCTTCCCTGCCGATGTTTCAGAATCGGGGAAATGATCTTTTTCGGAGACTTTGAAATCGACAGCTTACCTAGTCAGCATGGAAACTCCTGCATTGATAGCCGGATTATGATTTCCCATGTTTAGGGAGGCAAGCTTCGTGTCGCACTCGGACAAAAAACATGTACTGTGTCCGATTCTTTCTTGTATCAGATATTGTTGACGGTGCAATGCCCATTTTATCCAGTAGTTCTCTTCTTTGAAAACTAGAATCCCAGGCTTATGGAAGATCTCGTTATTGACGAAAAGCAAAGGTAGATTGCTCTGGCCTCCAGAATTCTCAGTCATTCCAAACCTCCTCGATATCTCGCTCTCCCACCAAGCCACCCAGCCAATTTGCCCTCCCCTTCACTCTCCACCCCACCTGCTCATCCCCATTGCCCAACTTCTTAATCCAACCCCCCAACGCTGCAACGACCGCACTAGCATCCTCTCTCATGACTCTGATCCAAACCTCCTTGTCCTCCGTCTTCAAAATATCGATAGAGATAGCAGAGCCATGGAGTCCCAGAAATTGCAACAGTGCTGAGGTGATATATGATTTTGCCGTAATATCATCCAGTTGTGGCTTCTTGAAAGATGAGGTCCGAAGTTCCAGATGAATGTAGGAAAAAAGTGGTGTTGTGATAGTAATGGCTTTGTGCTCGTGACTATTTTGTTTGCGTTTTGAGGGGATAGATGATGAGTGTGCTTCTTGCATTGGAGCATCCACGGTTATTTCTGTAGTATGAACCATTTTTCTACCGCTCGAAGGAAATTATTTCCAAACTTATAATTTTTATATTAATGTTCAGAGTTCTGGTGAGATATACGGGAGGAGATTCAGCCGTGTCGACATTTTTAGACGGCTGGTCCAAGCTTTTTTCAGCCTTGCAGCTTTCTTTGACATCTCGGACAATCTCAACCCTTTCAACTATATAAATCCTAGCCCTCTCAATTCTGGAAGCCTTCTCATTGCAACTTCAACTCCAGCCAAACAATCACGACAAACACAATGACTGAAAACTACGTACCCCCTAATCAGCAGCGCAATCTCCGCGCATGCATGGTCTGCTCAATCGTCATGACCCAAAACGTACGCATCAACCTTCCCTTTATTCTCTCCCATCTCTACTTGGTAGCCCAAAACTAACATACGTACCTCTAGCGTTTCATGCGAGAAGGTTGCCCCAATTGCGAAGATTTTCTCCATCTGCAAGGATCTATGGAAGCGATCATCGACTGCACATCTCAAGTCTTCGAAGGGCTCATTACACTGGCCGATCCATCTAAATCTTGGGTCGCGAAATGGCAGCGGCTGGATGGATATGTGAGAGGTGTGTATGCGACGAAAGTCAATGGACAACTACCGGAAGAAATCGTTTCGACAATGGAGGAAGAGGCGAGGGTCAAATATATTCCGTGAGTTATTCTGTACTGGAATGGGGGGTTTATGTGATAAACTGGAGCTAATTTGAATGTAGGAGAGATGGAAGTGCTACTGAAGCAGATTAAGAGGTTTGAGAGATGGTTTGCAAGCAAAGGTAAGAGCTTTCGCCGTTTGGGTATGAGATGATGAGGAGTCTATATGATATTTGGCAACTTGTATAGTATTTCCTATCTTGGAGCTTGAAAGACCAAGCCATAGAAAACCACATCATTGCCCTAGAGTCGTCTTTCGCCAAGCACAGGAGGACTACAGTAACCATAAACTTTGCTGATTTGTCATTAGGTCAAATACGCTTTATGGGATAGGAATTTGGATCTGGACAAAGGGTGCATAATGTTCGTAGCGTGAAGGAGTTAAAAGGAGTTTGGACATGGTATCAGAACAACTACAAAGAAATGAGACGCGGAAAAGCTCTGAAGCGTCTGATTGAATCAAGCAGTATCAAATCGCCCGATATATTATAACAGATTTAATTTCACGACCATTTGTGGAAGAATGTAGACTTCTGGGAGCCGAGTAAAATCATTGACACACAATCAATGAAGCCGAACAGAAAATCCTTGAAAAATAGGAACATCCTGCCTTGGCTCTACTACAGATGCATGTGGTATCAAATATAACGCCATATTCCTTCCACCGTAAAGTGCCTATAAATGTAACTCCGTGCAATGCCAAACCCTCATGATCGCTAGGTAACTAAAATCGTGGTCGTTTATGAGATGGTCCTCCATGTGATTGCTCCCTGCTCCTCTTGCGCTCAATTTCTTCCTTCATAATACGCTCTGCCTCGCTCATCTTTTTCGGCTGCTCAAATACAGGGGCCTTCTTGCCCCCCAGAGCATTCTTTTTAGCTGCTGCAAAAATGTTCTTTGGTTTGCTCTGGAATCCCATCTTTAAGGAAACTTTGGCTGGGGCTGGTAGCGCTGCCTCTGGGTTTGGAGACTCTGCGATTTTATCATCACCAGTTGCCGGTGTCTCACAAGGGTTGTTCTCGTCTTTCGCAGTTTCAAGAGAAGGCGCGTCACCAGCCGGCGTCTTGCTCTCCTCTGGCTCAATTATTTTGCTTTCAGGGTTTGAGACGGCAGGCTTAGCACCGAAGCTAAGCTTTATTTTCTCTCCTTCCTCTCTTTTAAGGCCCCGTTCTTGCTCATCCACCTCTGATTCTCCACGAGCTTCGGCATCTTGCTTTGCTCGACGTACCTGCTCCCTGATAAGCATTTGCTCCCGCTCCTCATCACCCTTATCTTGTCTCTCTTTCTTCCTAATCGCATCTTGCCGTCTTAACGCTTCGGGTGAGTTGTCGATCCATGCTACTTGTATACCTTTATCTGTTTCCTCTACTCGACATAAGCTTTCTCTGCCCAGGAATTTGGCAAACTCTGTCAAGGATGGCCATTTCGTTGAGTTCATATGAATATGCTCCTTGTTGCTGATGTATTCCTGGTAGAAATGATTCAAATTGACTTGTTTTTCGCCATGAGATGTTCGTAACAATTGTAGAAAGTCACGCTGGAATTGATTACTGAAATCGTTGATATACTTCTTGGGATCTTCTCCGATTAAGAGAATTTGTCGAACATGCGATTCAGATTGCACATGCATTTTGAAGCCATTTTCGTCGCGCATTTGTCTTTCGCAAGCCTGTTCATAATATTAGTTGGCTGATATGTATCATCGAGAACTATATACATACTTGGCAGTACCATCGTAATCGCTGGAGTCCTTTGGACTTTAACTTGTTGTTTAAAAACTTCGTTGATCCAACTTCTGCTTTCGGCATCTTGTAGACTTAAGGGCTTGGAAGATTTGCACGCTTTGCAAGTTCGAAAACAAGTTGAACTTTTGTAATATTGCGAGAAGGGGAAATTCGATTGCGGATTTTAGATCAAGATTTCCTGGATATCCTATTGAGAATTACTCCGGGGAATTGATAGAGTAACCGTGAGTTTTAGATGATGGCCGTTATAGTAGAAAATGATGTAGAAGTTCAAAATGCATATTGCGCCGCCGCCGCCTCGGCCATTATTATAGCCTTGTGATCTGTGCACGCTATATAATCATTCACTAGTCTAGTCTTTCCACGTCGTGCTCGTCTCCAACTCGCTTCCAGGCCAGACTTAGCTACCCTAATTGTTCATGAGAGGGTTGAACATTCACAGTGATATCTTTATCCCTCTCCCCGTGTTCGCTGGCATGTATAGTTTGATAAAATCGAAAAGATTGGCTATGGCTAAGCGCATCTTGGAAATCAACGGAACCTAGTGGACAACGTTTATTCCCAAAAGCCTGCTCATTAAGCAATAAGATCATAGTTCCTATATCCCGTAAATAAGTGTATTTACCCCATCATAACGAGGACAATTTGGTGGAGAGCATTGTGTTGCTAATTGATGGTCGCAACTGGTGATGCTGAGATTGATGTGCTCACAGGCCCAGAGGGTTTGGTGTTCTACACATGGTTGGATTTGGAATGGGTTAATGGGGTTCTTATAGATGCTATAAATGTAGATCTAGTTTGTAATTTTGAGGTTGTGGATGGTGCGATCGTTGATAGTTGATTTTTGATGGTCTTTGAGGGATCTAATGAGCTTAATTAAGATTTATAGGGATATAGTGGGATTTTGCATCTTTGTTTTGGGCATTTTTTCTGTGTATGTAACTATTGGAGATTGTTGAACGTCACTCACTAGTTTCCATTTTATCGTTGAAATGATCCGCTTCTGTCTTGAAGGTATGGTAGCACGGTTAGTAGTTTCTGCGAATTTTGTGTCTATCAATATCTTTCTTGACTGTCTTTGGCTTTCTAGTGTTCGTTCGCTTACAATGACTATACAATTCACTCACGAGAAGTCTTGCGAATCCCTTTCTGAAATTGCTAATAGAGAGATGCTTTATATTTCGTTCTTGGGTACCTGGTTCAACCCATATTCTCCGTGCGGGAGGATTATAAAGCCGAAGAAAGTAAGTGATAGTGACACCTTACTCTACTCCAATAAAGCCTCCAAAACACAATCTCGACTTTCCCCGGCAGTAGCAGGCCACTGTATATTTACGACCTTCAAACCTTCTCCTTCCAAAAGCTTCTTCCAATGTTTCTCTGTACGTTCAATGCCAGAAATCGGCATCATGCTGATATCAAGAAGAGATCCAAATAGAGAAGCACCCGTATCGGGCAAGATTAAATCTACAATTAGTATTCGCGAATATCCTTTCTTCATGGCGGGAATGGTTTGTTGGAGAATTTTGATGCAGGCATTGTCGGGCCAGTCGTGAAAGATGTGGCGGAAGAAATAGGTGTGCGCCCCTTCTCTGAAAATTAGATGTTTTGTAGAGGGATAGTGCAGTGTTTGGGGTGCCACATACCTTTAATGGGCTGAGGAGTGAAAAAATCATGTGCCATACTTCTAATACCGGGGGTCGGCTCTCGCCCATCAATCTCCTTGGGCAAATCCTGCACAATCATACCTCCTTGTAAATCTGGCCTTGCTATTCTAAGATCATTCAAAACTTTGCCTCGTCCCCCACCAACGTCAACAATCAGTACGTTTTCTTCCTCCAGTTCTTCGAACTTCTTGGTGCCGCAGTTTAAAACATCTGATAGCGAAAATTGGGAGGACACGAGCTTTGCCGCGGCCCCTTGACTTCTCTGTGAAGAAGCTTGCATAGCAGCACTGAAGATCTCTAGATCGCGAGGCTGGGTATGTAGCCAGTCGAAGTAATTCATCTCGGTGTTCATAGTGTACTGAAACAGATTTTTTTCCTCAGTGCCTGGATTTTGGAAGGAGGTGCTAGAGAGATACTCTGGCAACTTTACAAGGTAAGGAGTCATGATTGAGGACCTTGCTGTCGTCAACTGACGAACCGAGCTGGATTGAAAGAAAATACGTACATCCCGCGCATCATAGTGCGAAAGGTGGTGTTAGTGAATAGTTTCGACCGTATGTTGTGAGCGTATGTCTCTTCGCCGACTTCTGTGAAGATTCCGACAGAAGTAAGCGCTCTCATGACACGGACTGCCCAGTGGTTAGGCCTGCGCCACTGCATTTTGTATGTTTCATGAGATGAAGACTAGCGTAATGGATACAAATCTTACCCAGTAGTGATTTTTCGGCTCCAGTCTGCCCCGCAAGCTGATCAGCATTTCTCCACTCATCATTGCCTTCAAAGACCTCGAATATTCGCATTTCAATAGCTGATCTGAGCGCCGCATTTGCTTGAGGCTATGAAGGCGTTAGCAGTCTAGCAACTTCTCTTGGCACGCTATTTATGAGGAATGAGAGAAAGTCCTTTACTGACTCCGAAGACAACTTTCCAAATCCCAATTTCAGGTCCCTCCAGTTTCTCTACAAGCTTTTTCGCCGCAGATAGTAGTCCGTGTTTCTCGTGCAATGTCATCCCAGATGTAGGAGAGTCTAAACCTTCTGAAATTCTTTTTATTCCGTTAATATATTCGGCTGCCATGCTGGCCGAGGGGTCAAGGGTTGATGCTGTCGATGATGTCGTTTTGTCGTTTTGTCGTTTTGTCGTTTTGTCGTTTTGTCGTTTTGTCGTTTTGTCGTTTTTGTCGTTTTGTCGTTTTGTCGTTTTGTCGTTTTGTTGCTCACTGCTGAGAATCTTTTTGGGGAAATTGGTTTGGAAATTTTAATTCTTGCTCGAGATAAGATGGCTATTATAGGTCTCTGCATGGCACGCGGTCCGGATAAAATCAGTCTGCAAGTGTTGAGGGAGGGGCAAAAATCAAGCAGTGGGAGTTGCCGATGCTTCCGAATCATACTAGGATCATACAGCAATGCGTTAGCAAGACTCTGCACAGCATGGATAAATATCATCGACGTACAAGGAGTGTTGGACTTGAGGGACTGCCAATATGCTCCAGTACAAAATCCAAGTGAGGTAAAAAGCAACAAAGTGGTCAAGAAAAGATAAGAACTCTTCTGTATGAGTAATGGCGTGCAGGATCTGGTAGTTCGTAACCATCTCACAGACTTCAATGATGAGTTTCCTGTCATGATATCCATTTTCACGGAATTCTAAGACTATGAATTAGAATTGGAGTAAGGATGGTATGTCAATGGGATGAAGAGCGTATAATTTAAGAGAGACGGAATCATTATCCTTCTACGTTCGCATCTGGTGGTGTGTTAATCTTTGGTAAATGATATGATTTCTTTGGTTGATAATTGGTCGGATTGCTTCGACCTGAACTAACTGGTGGTGTCCTGGTCTATTTCAGGTAACCTGATCTCTCCTTTGAAGAAATTAGGTTACATCGCCTGCGGCAAAGCAGAATGGGCACCATTTGATTTTTCTCTTAACGGACAATAACACAGTGCCCTCGGCAAACCCCATGAAGAAAAACTCGACCCGACAGCTCGTCACTTCGGTCCTTCTTCCTTGATTCATAGCATGATGCTGTATATGCTATATTGTCTTCCACAGGTTTATGAGTCATTCTTCCGGGTCTCATTAGCGGTCGAAATTTCTCGTGCAAACTTCACATCATTCTGCCCCGGAGAAAAAGCGAGCAAGAAGAAAGGGCCCTTATACTTTCAACAATGGTCGAGCACTCGTACCAGAAGGTCGGTCTCCTCCATGAAGGTAGAGATGAATCTATCGAGGAAGCCCAGAGAGTCGTTCAAAGACGTGGTTTAAATTATTGGATTTGGAAATTATCGCCTTATTTTACCTTTCATTTGGTTCTACTTGCTCTTTATACTTTGGTTACGTTTCTGATTATTCGCCACTTCCAAATCGAGCCCCTCCAGAATACTGCCGGTCAGAGACTCACATACAGTAAGAAACAGCTCGCCGAAAATTGTTCTTGTATAGTGCTAACATCAGTACAGGTCCAGCAGAAGACTCCATTCAATACGAGAAATATGTGTTCAACGCCGCCCCAAACCTTACAAGCCCATATGTCGGCAAATCGAGACCTTCTCTCGATCAGGCATGGCACGATCTCCTGAAGCGTGAATCATTTATTCCCCTTGGCAGTTACAATACACTAGATTTAATATATATGGGCAGATACAAACATGCGCATTTCCGCAGATGAATTGGCCAAGGTTAATAGGGACTCAATTCCTCTTGGCCATGGTGGGGGCTACTATGGTGAAATTGCTGTATTCCATGAATTACATTGCCTGGTAAGAAAGCATTCTTCCAGAAGAACACGGACAAGCAATATTTAAACGTTGTGCAGAAATTCATCCGGCAAGCGTTTCACATGGATTACTATCGTCATGTATATGGCGAAAAGGAAAAAGAGACAATGGGCGAACATACAGGTACGCGCTTACTACTCTCATATTTGAGGAAGGAAAGATAAAAGTAAACACGCTAAAGTGTTATTCCTGTGCAGAGCACTGTATAGAAATCTTGAGGCAAAGCGTCATGTGTCGTGGCGACACGACGTTAATCACTTTCCACTGGGGTCACACAGTCAAATTGCCGCAGCCAGATTTCACTCAAGAGCACACTTGTGTCAACTGGGATAGCCTCATGAAGTGGGCTGAGCCACGCTCAATAGACATTTTTGAAGAAGGCATGCTGGTTCACCCTACTCTCGGTAAGTGGAAAGCTTCTCTCAAATCACAACGCTAGCCTTCTGACCGCTCCTAAAGGACCAGCATATCCTGGTGGAATACGTGAAGATAGACCTCATGCTGAAGACGTCCCTTCTATGTCTAATTTGTAGCTAGCTTTGTAGGGAAACTTTCTTGTAGAGATATCCTGATTCTCACTGAGTTTATCATAAAAAAAGGGGATATAACTCTAGACTTTAAAAGCTTAGTAATATCAAAAGCAGTGTAATCGTCATACTGTGACTTCCTATAATTCTGCGTGTTTGAATTCATGGCCAAATTTGCACATGCCTTGCTCGCCACCGAGGGTGAGATAGAAATATAATTCATATGATTTATCACTAGGCAGGCTAGGTTCGGACATCATGCATGGGCAGCATTTTGCTAGTGATCAAATTGTAAGTATATGCATGGTGGACACGCTGGTATCACACCTAATGAATACGACCGTTACTTTCAAGATTTAACGGTGTCATCGAACTCTCTTGATATGTGATGCCTTGACTATGAGTTCGGAATAACGACTAAAATGGAAATTAATTGTGACTGCAAGGAACAATTGTGTGGATGCATGCAGTAAACCTGACCTATTTGTAAGGGTTCCGAGTGTAATTCATCTCCTGACACCGACATCTAGCCACTAAGCACTGATCCTTTGGGCCGAAATGCGCATAGTTTAAATGATAAACATAAAACGTGAGCACGCCGCACGCTCGCAGAACACGAATGCTCGACTCAATACAACTTTCCAGTCTTGATGAATTTCCGGCACCCAATTTTCTGTGAGCAATGATCAATAATATGGGTATGCAAGTCCTTTCACCAGGGTTATAGCTCTATAAATACTCTACTGGTCTGCACACAAATTTATTGCAAATCACACTTCTATCCTTCGCAGCATCATTCAGAGTATTTCCAAGATTATCACTCTCGCTCGCAGTGAGCTCAAAACAGACCGACAGCATGCACCTCTCAAAGTTCATCATCTTCTTAGCGGCTGTGGGCAACTCTTTCGTTATGGCGTCTCCAACTTTGAGATCTGGTAAGCAATATTCTTTGATTCTTGCGCCGTTGCACTACACGGCCAAGCCATCTGAGATGTGAGTTAGCTGTTCTGATTGACTTCTAGAGGGCCTCAGTGCGAGATCAGTTAATGATAGCCTCCATGAAAGAACGGCCATTGATAATAGTAAGAAATAGTTACCCCTTTCTGCAGTTGCATGCTGACGTCGTCATCGATGCAGTTGGAGAGAAGAGAGAGGAAACAAGCATTGATGCAGATGCAGCCTACGGCTTGTACGAAGACTGATTATTGGCGGGCACGTTGTCATTGCATACTGCAGATGCCTTTGGAGCTGGTGTATCTAACTGGTAGAGTTTGGCTAGAGCAGACCAGGGAGCGTGGATTCTAGCTAGGGAGAGCAGACTTCAAACACAAATAAAACAGATTTGAGGATAGAAGATCCAACATCAGATGCATGACCATGTTAACGACGTCGTTTTACAATTGTGGCCTGCGGCGTTTTCGTAGACGGCCCCTTCAGATTGATCTATCGATCGTCAGTCAAAAAGCAATAGCAAGTAAAAAAGGAACCCCCCAGAAATCAACGCTGTTGGCCAGTATTTGTTTTTAAGTCAGTGATCGAGAGTCAAAGCTAAACTCAGGCACTGATGAATGCCACATTATGTCTAATCGGAAAGCTTAAGATCACTCGACCAAAAGACTCTCCCCGAAATCTTGGCTCCTTCCCCCCGATTCTTTGTCGAGAAAGATGGAACTCAGAAGCCAAAGCAAATGAAATAAAATTTGGTCTTCTAGTAGTCCAGACTGCAGGCTGCAAGCCTTTTCGCTGTTTCAGGATTCATAGATCCGCAAAAGGACTCAACCTCTCAACATGATTTCGGTAATTAAAGGCCTCTCATGATTCGGACTGCACTCTGTACTGACAGACACCTTCAATAGAAAACAGCTCGCCTGAACGATATTGCAAATCGCACAATTAGTGTTGGTCTCCCAGAACTCGGTCCAGGCTCAGGCGACGGTGACAATACTATGCTGATAATTGTTGCATTTTAGATGAAAGATATATCCATGTAAAGTTCTGATCGGACAAACTACTCGGCCTAAAGAGATAAAATCCAACTACCTACCATGTAGCCATAGGATAGATTCTGTTGGTATGACAAATACGTAGGATATCAAATAGGGGGAGAAGCCAGATCACGTGTTTCAGGTCATGCTTCTCGAGAGATATGTGAGTGTACACCTAGTAGGACCCTACCCAAGATGTTTCCCTTCAAGGTCGCTCTTATGACAAGATAGCTACTCCCTTGTAGTAAATCTTAGAGCTATGCTATGATAAGACTGTCCATAGCTTGAATAGTCTATTGATTTCACTATATGGTATCGGGATTTAAAAGTTGCAAATGCAATCATCAATCAGACTGAGAGAGAGTATATTGAATTGCTCAAAATGATATATGAATCTGGATTCCCGAAAGGATGTAGAATATAAGATTGCCCGAAAATCTGAGTACATACATGAGTAAGTGAATAGAGGCCAAGGTTGGTATAGAACCACACACCCGCGACGATGTGAAAATCGATACGGACGGATCATCTGGAAGTTCTCGTACTTTTTCTTCAATGAATGGCGCCGGGAAGGTCTATTAATAGTATCCCGTATAGGTAGACAGCAAATGAGCGAATAAGAAAGGTTCTCTCCTCGGTAGCTCGAATTTTAATAATGCATTGCCTCAATTGTCTCCTAAACTTTTTCCTAACCTTGTACCTGACTGACCACTCAAAATGTGCTAAACTCGAGACATTCCTAGTGGATACCCTCTTCATTCCATACGATTTACCGGACTCCTTTACGAATTACTACCTACAACAATTTCAACACTTTACATTTCACATCTTTCAATCCTCTCGTCGATAAATGTTTTACACGGTCAAAATCCCTTCGTTTCTAATCATCTTTTGAAGAAGAAAATACACGGCCTCACTCGTTCGGTCGGACAATCATCTATTCCATTCAGTCGACTTTTGGGTTTCACTCGGACAACCTTGATCGAAATTTAATCGGACTATAAGAATCATCAAAACAAAACATCCATTAAACATTTACTCACCATTCATCGAAGAGACGAAACATTTCTTGAAGGAGTTTTGGTGCTGGATCAAAGTATACTTTGAAGATTGAAAAGAACATTTAGGAGTTCAAACAAGAAATTTGGGGCCATTTAAGGGCATACGAAGATATCACCAACAAACACGATGCGGGCTCAACGATCAATCCAACTATATTCCATCATCCTACTCTGCTTTTCCACATTTGTAGCTGCATGGCCATGGCCAAGATGGCTTCCAGAAATGGACTCTTTAATTGTAGCTCGACAAGACAGTTCAAGCTCTTCTGCTGCTGGTAAGAAACTCATAATCAATCTTTCCCGTGTTTACGTGCTGACATCTTGAAGACAATACAGCATCAGAAACTGCTTCTGCCACTGCTTCGGCAACTACAGCCCCAAAGTCTACAAACACAGCATCAGAAACAGGTTCCCAATCTGCAACTGATTCTCAATCAGCATCGAAAACAAGCTCAGGCTCAGGCACAAATAAAGCTACCACTTCTGGATCGAAAACAACATCGGGTACTGCCAAATCTGGGTCATCCAAATCTACAGCCAAGTCTGGTGGCAATTCGACTTCCTACAATGCAACTTACCCAGCAGGTGGAATTTCTCTCTTAACACCTGCCGCCGCTTCCACTACATACTTCAAAATTGGTGACTATATTACTTTTGCCTGGAATTATACATCTCTCGAAGCTACTCCTACTGCCGTTAACATTATGGCCACATGCAAAGCCAACGCTCAATTATATACTATTGCCACGAACCAAACCGTCTCGAATGCCACACAAGCAGTAACCTGGGATACCAGTGCCTATCAATCAACTGCTGTTGGAAACCCTCTCCTTACTGAAACCTACACTTTGATTATCTACGATGCAGAGAGAAGTATCAATGCGGCTTATGAACCCGGATACCTGTCAGTATATGATTCATATGCTTTTGGAATGTACTCGCCTCAGCCATATACTCCCCTCAGCGATTGGGTATGTGCTACATGCAGTGGGGCATTATCTGATATGGAGAGAAAGGCATTGAAATTGATGTTTGGTATGGGAGTTATTACTGTGCTTAGCTTTACCTGGTTCGTCACTGGATTGGGTGTTATCTGGTAAAAATTTGTCATGAAGATTACAACTTTTCTTATAATTTTGGGTGCGTTGGATTGAAGGACACGGAGGAGAGAAACGTTAAGATATTGGGTTGCATATGGGGAACACTCCTTTGGGCAAGATTTGAAAACGAAAAATCCGGGTTGGGGTAATGGTGTTTTGGGGTTTGGGCCCATGTGCATTTTCTGGATTTAGCACATTGCATGCATGCATAGATAGCAGGGAGAAATTTACAATTACTTAATGAACGATTGAGAGCAAATTGGTTTATAATAGTCAATAACCATTCTTTTCTCTGATTCTATATTTGTGAATTTGTGCACTGTAGATTTACATCTATAAAATTACAAGAATATGCCTCGTTAAACTACACAGAGCACAAATTGGTATATCCACGTGTTTCCCTCAGTACATACATCCATATCATACACTGGCCTATCTTCTGACCCTCACGCCGGAAGTGACTCGCTTTCTTCTTCCTCTCAAATAAGCTTCAAACTAAATCCGGCCCCTTTCTCAACCTCCTCTCCCCCTCCATTCCCAAACACTCCACTAAAATCCAATACACCTCCCAATCCCTTAGGAACCTCTCCTCTCTGAGGAGCATCCGGAGTCCCCCTCCTTCTCTTCTTCTCCAATCCAGCTTTACTTGGAAATGTAGGAAACATATCTTTACTCTTCATCTTCGGATCTTCTTTGAAGTATTCATGTTCCAGAACTTCTTGTGCAGAAGGTCTTTTCGCAGGATTTAAGCTGAGGAGAGAAGAGAGTAGAGATGATCCAGCTGAAGTCAAGAAGGGGAACTTGGAGCGCAGGACTGAGCCTTGAGTGGCGGGATTGGGGTTCTTGGGAAGTCGGAGCGAGCGTGCGTTGGGGAGACGTTTGAAAGTGGGCCAGTTGGATTCGGTAGGGAGGCCGAGGAGTTCGAAAATCTTGGATAGTTGATCGACTTCGTTTTTTCCGGGTAGCAGCGCGTCGTTGCTGAGTAGTTCGCCAAATATACAACCCACGCTCCACATATCTACACTTTTACCGTATCGTTCTTCGCCGAGTAACAGCTCTGGACTGCGGTACCAGAGCGTGACGACTAATTGGGTCATTTTTGGAGCTGGATCGCCGCAGTAGCGGGCCATGCCAAAATCGGCGATTTTAAGGACGCCTCGATTGGAGAGGAGGAGATTGGAGGTTTTTAAGTCGCGGTGGAGGATGTAATTGTTATGGAGGTAGGCAACGCCCGTTGTGAGTTGATGGAGAAGTAGCTTGAGTTCGGATGGTAGGAAAGGTTCCGAGAGAGATGTCAAGAGAGTTTTGAGGTCGTGTTCAAGGAAGTCAAGAACGAGGAATATACTGAGGGGTGTCTGTTAGCTATAATTTTCTATATTCTGTGCAAATGGGAAAACGTGAAAGCAAAGATAGAAATGGCATGACTGAATTGGAGAAAACGTACTTCTCAATCTTACTTGTATCCTCTCCAACAACCACTTCCCTTAACCTCACAATGTTCTCATGCTCACAGTCCATCAACGTTTGTATTTCCCTTAGACCTGTTACTGGCACCCCGTCATTGGCATTCTCCATCTTCAATCGCTTCAGCGCGACGACCTTCCCCGTCCGACTATCTTTCGCGCGCGATACCCATCCATACGCCCCCTCTTCTATGTCATTCAATTTCTCATAATCTTCGACGCTGCGACATTTACCCCAATTGGGTGCTGGAAATCGCAGTAGTTTGGCAGGCGGTAAATCGAGCTTTTGAGCGGGTGCTGAAGAGTGTGATAAACGGCGACGCTTCGAGGGTCTTTCGGTGGATGCTTCTGGTTCAGAAGGAGCTTGAGCTTTGGATTTCGCGGCAGCAGCAGCGGCAGCTTGTTCATCGAGCTTCTTCTGTTTTTCTGCCTTCAATCGTTTCTTCTCTTCCTTTTCGCGTTTGCGCTGCAGCTCCAGCGCAGCATCTTCTTCGTCATTTTCCCAGCGCGACTTGGCTTGAGTCGACATAATTGTACCTTGTTGGTTATAAACTCTAGCCTTCTGTGAAGTGTGCAATTGAAGCTCAATACGCCCCTCGTCCGGATTCAACAACTGATCTCTCAAATTTAAAGAGTCAATTCTTTTCGGGGTCGCGCAATATTGACCTTTCTAAATATCTAATAAAATATGTACTTCTTATGAAATTCTAAAATTTATTTTGGCATGACAAGATTTTCGATAGTGGTAGATAAGGTCCTAGGTTGCAGTGAATTTTGAAGTCGAGGCTGAGG